ATGTTTGTATTAATTTACATATAGTTGGACAATTTTCTTTGTTACATTTTCAGGTGAATTGTTTCCCTGTGCCCATAATATTTCTCCTCAATTTGAAGTTTTACACCAGAAAGCATGAACAATTTAATTTCCCACACAGAAAATCCTAAAAAAATTCTGATCCTGTTTTAGGTTTTTCTCTCAATGGAGAATTGTTAATGGATGCCCTTGGGGGAGAGACTACTTTTGGTGATGTGCAAGGTGATGCATTTATCCCCGCATGCACTCTTGGTGTAGGACAAAAAGCAAGATTGGTGTATGGGCAAGATGTTGACTCGTTGAAGTTTTTCACTACTTGTGGTTTGCAGGAGGGTTATGAACCATTCTGTGTGTAAGTAAACAAAATTAACTGATGGCCACCTTTTTTCTATCCATCTATTGGTATTTCATGCCTATATTTCTTACTTTTTTTGTGTAGGAATATGAACCGACCTGTTACTTACTGGTACACCAAGGATCAACCTATTTTTGAAAATACTGATGACATGGTTGACTCGCGAATTGATGTAACCAGAATTCCTGCTGGATCCGATACGCCTCCCTGCCTTAAAATTAGTCACAACACATTTGAGACAATGGAAAAAGCCAACTGGGAGTTCCTCCGACTCTGCCTTCCTGTAATATGTCAGAGTTCATTCATTGAGTATGTAGAAAGTTACTTAAAACTATTTGTTCATGTCCTTATTTAGTATCTGTTTATCAATTTTTTATTACTTTCTACCACAGTGAGGGTGAAAAAATCAGGCGCTGGCAGGAAATAAAAGTTAGGCAACACCGACTGTTAACTGAAACTGAACAGACAACCCCAGCCCACCTTGAACAAATTATGAAGTCTGGATTTTCTCTCAGTGACATCAAAGGTAATTCTTTGTTTTGGAGTGTAAAAGCAATTTTTATTCTCCTCTCACCACTTTCTCCACTAAATGAAAATTGTATTTTAAGGCCTACAGCGTGGGTACTCAGAGGATGCAGCCGAAAATGATGAGGTGGGAAGACCTGATAACTCACCAACCACTCAAAGTAAGCTGAAACGATTACCTTCCAGACCTCCAAGAAAGGGCTCACTGTCTCGTACCAATGGATTTGACTCTAACACATTAGACGCTGGTAAGTCTCACTAAAGACTAAATGAAATTTAAGATATTTTCAACAACCCTAACAATAGTTATAATTTAGGTGGTAAAATACATAGATCAACAAGTGAGATGGACATGAATCGATTTGACAGCCAGAAAGACACTGAAGCTGATAAAAAGAAAAGAGGCCGCTCACCCTTCAGGTAAATCTTTATAATCATAATAGATAAAACTGTTAAAAAATTTATCATGGTAGAAAACTTTTTAAAATGAAATTGCTTAGGTTGTTTAAGAAACGTGACAAGAGTGGGGATCGTCTGAAGAAAGCGAAAACCCCTGAGCCTCCTTCATCAGGTTCAGACCGGCAAAACCATGGACGCTCTGGACCTGCCAATAACTTGGCCCGCACCAACCCTCAAGTCAGGGTTTCTCAGGTATGTTTCTTCAGGCATATTCTGTTTTGGTTGGGATAGACAGCTTATGTAATAACTGTATTGATAATTGATTTTACAGTCTGACCTTAAAGCTGCAGCTCCAACTACAACAGAGAGGGGTCCTAAAATTATGTCTGTTACTCCAGCAACTGGCATTGAAGCCATAGGAAATGAAATCTATGATGCGGATTGCTTGAAACTGATCAATGAATACTTTTATGGAGTTCGTATTTTTCCTGGTCAGGATCCCACTCATGTTTATATTGGTTGGGTGACCACTCAGTTCCACTTGCACAGCAAAGACTTCAACCAGAGCCGTGTAAGGAAGGCTGAGGTTCATGTTTGTGATGATTATGACCGTCTGCTTGAAAAGTAAGGAGATAAAAATCAAAATATCTTTCCTGGCAATTACCCATCGTTTATTGAATTTCTTATTTATTTTACATAATCAAAAATATTTGTTTCCAGAGTGGAACGTCAAAGCTGCTATATGGTGCGAGCCGATGAATTGTACAATGAAGTTACACAAGATGCCTCTGGAAAAGGTGCTTCTCAGGGAATGGTTGTAGGCTGCTCTGTTGATACTGCCACAGGTTACATCACTTTTACCTGTGAAGGGAAGGAAACTTCTCATCGATATAAGGTTCTATAATTCAATTTTTTGTATCATTACTTTTGACACAACCACATACTCAATGAATTCCTGTTTATTTTGCAGATGGAACCAGAAACTAAATTATTCCCAGCTATATTTGTAGAAGCAACAAGCAAAGAAATCTTGCAAATTGAACTTGGAAGGACATCAACTACGCTTCCTCTTTCTGCCGCTGTTCTTCAGAATTCTGATAGGCATGTCATTCCTCAGGTGATTGACAACACTCCTAACTTCTTTTTTAAATTAGTCAAGACTATAACTAGCTTGACTGTTGTTTAACATGTTTTTGTTGTTTGCAGTTCCCTCCGAGATTGAAAGTACAGTGCCTCAAACCTCACCAATGGGCTCGTGTCCCAAATCAGTCTCTACAAGTCCATGCTCTGAAATTGTCCGATGTTCGGGGATGGTCTATGTTATGTGAAGATCCCATTTCAATGCTAGCTCTCCACATTCCGGAAGAAGACCGCTGTATTGATATCCTAGAGTTGATTGAAATGGAAAGACTTTTAAGGTAAGGTCAAGACTCAACTTGGAAATGACAACACTTTTCTGTAAACTTTTACACTTTAATAATCAACAACTGTTGTTGCAGTTTCCATGCTCATACCTTAACTCTGTATGCGGCACTGTGTTATCAATCCAACTATCGAGCAGCTCATACTCTATGTCAGCACGTAGATCAGAAACAATTGCTCTATGCTATCCGATCAGAGTTCATGTCTGGACCACTAAGACTTGGTTTCTATGATCTTTTAATTGCCCTTCACCTTGAAAGTCATGCTACAACCATGTAAGTAAATAAATACGGATGAATATTTTGTGCCTCTACTCCATTTGTTTGCATATCTGTTGTTTTGTTTTTTTGTTGTTGTTTTTTTGTTGTAAATTCATGCTCTTGTCCTTAACAATTTTTTTCAGGGAGGTGTGCAAAAATGAGTATGTCATACCCTTAGGTCCGGAGCTGAAATCTCTGTATGAAGACCCTGACATGTGTCATTCCCTTCGTTCTCTTGACACTCAATCCATCCAACCTCAAATGAAAATGACTGACATTGCGTAAGTTAACAAGTACCTATAATTATTTGATACAGAAAATAAGCAAGCTCAATGTGAGGGTTCCTCTTAAATTTGACTTTTATTCCAATATGTCAAACACACTTCAAGAACAAACATTGTTTTTTAAATACAATAATTACTCCACTTATACTTATGGTATTTTTTGCAAGGACTCATTTTGCTTTTCAGTTTTTCCCCAACTTCCCATCTAACTTGTTGTGATAAGTTCAGAATCAGAACTTTTAATTTCAAATGACAAGCCCCATTTTCCCTTTTTTCCTCCCAATGCTGTATTTTTTAATTAGTTTTTAGTGCTTTTATTATCACTGATGCATGGTACCCTTGCTTTTAGTTTGAAGCCTGTTTATTACGATTTTTCCAATGTATTTCCAGGGGGATGGACAGCAGTGCACCTGGGACAGGCTTTGACCCGAAGAATAACCCTATCCCTGTAGTGTGAGTCAAATTATCTGCTTCTCCCCCCCTCTTTTTTGTTTTTTTCCTTTTTTTTTGCAAATTAAATAACGTTAAGTTACAAAGAAAAAACTCTGCCTTTACAAATATTACTCTACACTAACTCTGACAATAGCATTCTTGTATAACATTTACCAATTGTCCAATTCAACATGATAAGATAAGTTAAGAATCTAACTAGACTAGATTTATGTTGTTTGAATTACTGTAATTGTTTTGTGCTTATTTTTTCTCTGAGATAAATGTTTCTGTTGTATTTTATTTTGGTTTCCTACTGGTGTCACTAAATATCTTGTCGTATGCTATAGTAATTTACATTGACTGGATAAAGTAATTAAAAACCTAAACTAGGACATTTGTGTGAACTAATGTGTTATTCTTTCCCTTTTAGAGAAGCTTCAGAGTCATTGGACAATATCCGCACTCTTTACAGTCCGTATTTCCCTCTTGACGTAGTAAGGAATTATATTATGCAAGCTTTACACGAGGCTGTAGAGTTAAACCAGGTTCATAATAGAGATCCTGTCGGTGGCAGCAATGAGAATTTATTTTTGTACGTACAAACTAACCTACCTGAAATATTTAGCTGCCAAGAATGTGACTTACTCCTTATCTTTCTTTCCCTCAGACCCATTTTGAAGTTGGTTGATCGATTGCTGCTGGTTGGTGTGCTGACTGATGTAGACGTGGAAAAGCTTTTAATTATGATAAATCCTGAGACCTGGGATCCAAATTATGATAAAGGTATCATCATTTTGTGTTAGATGCTTTCCTCCTAGATAGACTTCCCCAATTTTTCCCTATTCTTTCTTTGTTTCCAGAAGGTAAAGATGAGCACCGCAAAGGCCTGCTCCACATGAAAATGGCAGAGGGGGCAAAGCTGCAGATGTGCTACTTACTACACCATCTGTGCGACATTCAGCTTCGCCATAGAGTAGAATCAATAATTGCATTTAGTCACGATTTTGTTGGAGATTTACAATCTGTGAGTGTCATAATAATTTGTATTGTTTTACTCCATATTCTAGTAGCATTTTGAGATGCTTTCATTTACTATTTCTTGAGCCTTTGAGTGAGAGTTATCTCTTCTAGGATCAACTTCGACGTTACAATGAGATCAAACAGTCTGATCTTCCCTCAGCTGTGGCTGCTAAGAAAACTAGGGAGTTCCGCTGTCCTCCAAAGGAACAGGCTAGTATTGATTCAATAAATTCTATAGTAAAATTCAAGTCATTGTCATCACTAATATTATTTTTTTTTAGATGAATGCCATATTGTGCTTCAAAAATCTAGAGGAGGGCGATCAAGAAAATTGTTCTTGTGGAGATGAATTACGTGCTCGGTTGACTGATTTCCATGATGGTTTAATGAACCATGTGTCACTGAAAGCTTTACAAGAACCAGAAGCAGTAGAGGTAAGCAAAAGCATTTTCAGAATCTATTTTCTGTGTCCATTATCTTGTTCTCACTCTAGAACCATATTTTTAGGAGGAGTCTCCAGAAAGTCAGAAAACTGGACCAATTAAAAAACTTTACAATTTGATAAATGCTGTGAAGGAACTAGAAGAAGAAAAGGTTCCTGAGCCTGAACCAGAAAAGAAAACTCCTGAAGGTGTGCTGTTTTTCAAAAGCCTTGTAAAGTAGACACATTTTAACTAACTTGCATCTAAAAAATATATCTATTATTAATTTCAGAAATATTCCGCAAAGTTTTAATCAAGACCATTGTGACATGGGCAGAAGAATCACAGATAGAGACTCCGAAGCTTGTCCGCGAAATGTTCAGGTACCCATTATTGTATCATTCAATAAATTCTTAATTTAATAAATTAAAGCCAAAGTATTTTCTTCAGTTAATCGATTTTGTTTGAAGCTTAGTTCTGTGTACTGTGTTTCAGCTTACTTGTGAGGCAGTATGATGCAGTTGGTGAACTCATACGTTCCTTGCAAAAGACATACGTAATTAATACAAAGACTAGAGATGATGTAGCTGATATGTGGGTATGCCTAGGGCAAGTAAGAGCTCTACTGCCTGTCCAAATGTCTCAAGAGGAGGAAGAACTCATGCGAGAACGGTTGTGGTAAGTTCATTTGAAAAATTTATTACAACATTTTGATTATCTCTGGAAGCATTTTAAAGTGATAAATGTTTCTCTCTCAAACATCAGGAAACTTGTGAACAATGCTACCTTTTTCCAGCACCCAGACCTTATCAGGGTGCTAAGAATCCATGAGAATGTAATGGCTGTAATGATAAATACTTTGGGCAGACGAGCTCAAGCTCAGTCTGATGCCCCTCAAACGACAGGGCAGGAGGGGGAAGCGCCAGTGAAGGAAAAGGTTATATTAAGATACTGCTTTTGGTGTAAGCTTTGATTTAGTTGGCACTAAACTTTTTCTAAATATTTTTCAGGACACCTCACACGAGATGGTGGTTGCTTGTTGTCGCTTCTTATGTTACTTCTGCCGAACTTCTCGGCAAAATCAGAAGGCAATGTTTGACCACTTAAACTTTTTGCTTGAAAATTCCAATATTCTTCTCTCTAGACCCTCGTTGAGAGGGTCAACTCCACTTGATGTGGCCTACTCATCCCTCATGGAAAACACTGAATTGGCCCTAGCTTTGAGGTTTGTTTTGTTATGATCTGTTGAAATGGATTGCTTTTGTTTTGTTAAATGTGAAATATTAATCTCCTCGGGATCATACTTGTCATACAGAGAGCACTACCTTGAGAAGATTGCTGTTTATCTGTCTCGCTGTGGTTTGCAGTCTAACTCTGAGCTAGTTGAGAAAGGCTATCCAGACCTGGGTTGGGATCCAGTTGAAGGGGAGAGATACTTAGATTTTCTCAGATTTTGTGTTTGGGTAAATGGTGAGTTACACTGTAAAACTAGATTTTTATTAATGTTATCAATTTTTTATGTGTAGTTTTTATAAGATCTTACTTCATTTTTGAAAAATATTTGACCAGGTGAAAGTGTGGAAGAGAATGCAAATCTTGTTATCCGTCTTCTTATTCGACGGCCGGAATGTTTAGGCCCTGCCTTAAGAGGAGAGGGTGAAGGTCTTTTAAAGGCAATTGTGGATGCAAATAAAGTAAGTAGGATTATTTAAGTGGCCTAATATATTTTAGACTGCATGTAAATAATTATCAACGAAATATTTTGTAGATGTCAGAACGCATTGCAGAGAAGCGAAAAATTTTAGAGAGTGGTGGTGTTAATGTTAATTCTGATGTTGCTGATCTTGATCACCCAATGCCAGAAAGTGATGAAGATGAGGATTACATTGACACAGGTTCTGCAGTCCTTAACTTTTATTGTACTCTTGTTGACCTCTTGGGGAGATGTGCTCCAGACACTTCTGTTATTGCCTTGGTTTGTGCTTTATTTTTTATCTTTTCATTGATTTCTGATCTGTGTTTCTTAATGGTCACTACTATAAACTTTTTTTAGGGTAAAAACGAATCGCTGCGTGCAAGAGCTATCTTGCGATCACTTGTACCGTTGGAAGATCTGCAAGGAGTTCTATCCCTTCGCTTCACTCTTCAAAACCCTGCTCAGGGTGAGGAAAGGCCAAAAAGTGACATGCCCAGTGGGCTGATACCAGGAAACAAGCAGAGTATTGTGTTGTTCTTGGAAAGAGTATATGGTATTGAAACTCAAGATTTGTTCTTCCGTTTGTTGGAGGAAGCATTCCTTCCTGATCTCAGATGTGCCACCATGCTTGATAGGGTATGTGTAAGCACTTTCTTTTCCAACCCTAAACCTCTTTTGTGTTACATATTTATTTATTTTGTTTCTGTTAACAGAGTGACAATTTGGAATCAGAAATGGCTTTAGCTATGAACCGCTATATTGGTGTCTCAGTTTTACCGTTGCTTATCAAGCATTCAGCTTTTTATTCTGAAGCTGACAACTATGCCAGTCTCCTAGATGCAACACTGCACACAGTTTACCGGCTTTCCAAAAACCGCATGCTTACGAAAGGGCAACGTGAAGCTGTCTCTGACTTCCTTGTGGCACTCACAAGGTAAATATATTCAAAACCAGTGCAAATTTTGGTGTAGTTACATTTATTTTTAGGAATAACAATAAGACCTAAATAAATATTTTCTTGCAGCCAAATGCAGCCTAGCATGCTTTTGAAACTTCTGAGAAAGCTCACTGTGGATGTGTCCAATCTCTCAGAGTACACAACTGTTGCACTAAGGGTATGAGTCTCACATCTGCAGTGTTAAAATTTATTAAGGAGAAGACTGTATTATAACTCATTTCTGTTCTTCTTATAGCTGTTGACCCTTCACTTTGATCGCTGTGCAAAGTATTACGGGTCCACATCCATGGGTGCCTCTAGTGATGAAGAAAAGAGACTGACCATGATGCTTTTCAGCAATATCTTTGATTCTCTATCAAAGATGGTAAAGAATTTGTTATAATTTGAAAATAAAACTTCTTTCCAACTTCTTTAACCTTTTTTTCCTTTACATCAGGATTATGATGCTGAATTATTTGGCAAAGCATTGCCTTGCCTCACGGCCATTGGGTGCTCTCTTCCACCGGACTACTCACTTTCTAAAAACTATGATGATGAATTCTATGGGAAAAACTCACCTGCTTCTGGGCCAGGTGATGGACCTTACAATCCCCAGCCCATCAACACTTCAAGGTTTTTATAACAACATTGCATTTTGAAAACAATTAGTTTTAAGTACTTGCTCTGTAAAAAGAAAATTGTTTCAGTGTTGCATTGAACAATGACTTGAACACAATAGTTCAAAAGTTCTCTGAACACTACCATGATGCATGGGCAAGCCGTAAGCTGGAAGGTGGTTGGATGTATGGAGATCAGCGTTCCGACAGCAATAAAGTTCACCCTCGACTCAAACCTTACAACATGTTGAATGATTATGTGGGTGGAATCAATATCCTTTACAATCCAAAAGAAGTTTTATATTTTGAAATGCAATCAGGATTTATTTTCCCCTTTTCCAGGAGAAAGAACGTTACAAAGAGCCAGTTAGGGAATCTCTGAAGGCACTTCTGGCTATTGGATGGAATGTTGAGCATTCAGAGGTGGACATGCCGATGAATACCAGAAATTCAGTAAGACGCCATAGCAAGGGGAATCCGGTAGGTGGTGATGTGAGTTTCTCCTTTTTTTCTTCTCCTACATTAATGTTTTAGAATGTAGACATTTTTCTTTGAACTTCTGTGTATTCCTGTGTTCTTCTAGATGACTGACTCAGCTACCCCATTCAACTACCACCCTCACCCTGTTGATATGACCAACTTGACTCTGAGTAGGGAAATGCAAAACATGGCAGAGCGCCTCGCCGAAAATGCCCATGATATTTGGGCAAAGAAAAAGAAAGAAGAGCTTTTGACTTGTGGTAGGTCATTTAGTCATACACAGTTTGCTGGAATAGGTTTTTCAAATTCGTTATGCTTGATGGCCTTATCGTCTGTAACAGGTGGAGGCATACACCCTCAGCTTGTACCATATGACCTACTCACTGATAAGGAGAAAAAGAAAGATCGGGAGAGGTCTCAAGAGTTTTTGAAGTACCTTCAGTACCAGGGCTACAAATTGCACAGGTCAGTGATTAATTTTATTATCACCTCAGTATTCCTTGTTATTTAATTTTCAGTCTGTTTGCAATTGGTTTGTTTGCCTGCGTAGACCATCTCGTGGCACTGCACAAGAGCAACAAGAGCAAGCAGCTGCAGTATCCACAGGAGAGCTTCGTTTTGCCTACAACTTGCTGGAGAAGCTAGTGGCCTACATGGACCGTGCAATTATTAATATGAAGTTGTTGAAACCATCGTCCATATTCAGCAGACGCTGCTCCTTTAAAACTACTGGTCGAGACATCAAATTCTTCTCAAAGGTACGAAATTTTAGTTTTCCTCCAAAATGCATTGAAATTACATGGACTTATTTTGTGCAAACCATGATGTTCTCTTTTCAGGTGGTTTTGCCTCTTGTTGAAAAATACTTCAGCACCCACCGCAACTATTTCATTGCTGTTGCCACTGCATCAAATAACATTGGAGCTGCATCTTTGAAAGAAAAAGAGATGGTGGCAAGGTACGGAACCATCAATATTTTTTTTAGTGCATTGATAATTTCTTCAAATGCCAAAATGTTTCTGCCAAATATGAATGTTTGTTTGTTTCAGCCTCTTCTGCAAGTTAGCCAGTCTTCTACGACAGAGACTGGCTGCCTTTGGTCCTGATGTAAGAATAGCAGTTCGATGCTTGCAAGTACTTGTTAAGGGCATTGATGCAAAGTAAGATAAAAAAATATTGCTATCCTTATAAAAATGTAAAATTGATCAATCTTCTAAATTTCTTTTCTTTTTATCCTTTTATCTAGATCTCTTGTAAAAAACTGCCCCGAATTCATTCGGACATCAATGCTCACATTCTTCAACAGTCTGGCTGATGATTTAAGCCACACAATTACCAACCTTCAAGAAGTATGTATTTTTTCTTTTCCCCTTGGTTAACACTGTATTTTGCATCATAAAACTGTATTTCATTTTTCTGCAGGGACGATACAGCCATCTGAGAGGCACTCATTTGAAGACATCCACTTCTTTGTTCTATGTGAATGATGTTGTATTGCCAGTTTTGACCTCTATGTTTGATCATCTAGCAGCCAATGAGTATGGCGGGGATTTACTTTGTAAGACAAAATAAGTTACAACATGCTCTTCAAGCAATCAAATTAATTAATGTGTATTTCTATAACTTTTGAACTTCTTCTTTGCAGTGGATGAAATTATGGTTGCATCGTACAAAATTTTGAGTAGTTTGTACACACTTGGTATTGATGCCACCCTCACTCATGATAGAAAGTATTTAAAAACAGAGATTGAAAGACACCGTCCTGCCATTGGCACATGTTTGGGAGCATTTTCTTCAACTTTCCCAGTAGCTTTCTTAGAGCCTCACCTGAATAAGCATAACCAATTTTCTCTTTTGAATCGCATAGCTGATCACTCTCTTGAAGCACAGGATATCATGGCTCGTATGGAGAACAGCATGCCAACTTTAGAAACAATCCTTGGAGAAGTTGATGCTTTTGCAGACTCAGAAAAAAACTACAATGATGCTCCGCATGTCATTGATGTAATTTTGCCAATGCTTTGTTCATACCTTCCGGTTTGGTGGTCTCAAGGACCTGATAATGTGAGTCCTGCTGAGGGCAATCATGTTACAATGGTTACAAGTGAACACATGAATCAGTTGCTCAAAAATGTTTTGAAACTCATCAAGAAAAATATTGGTAATGAACATGCTCCTTGGATGACAAGAATAGCTGCATATACTCAACAAATCATTATAAATTCGTCAGAAGAACTTTTGAAAGATCCATTCCTACCCCTGGCAATAACTGTGAAAAAGCGAACAGATACCATGTTCCACAAAGAAGAATCATTGCGAGGTTTTATAAAGTCATCAACCGATGATACATCCCAAATAGAAGCTCAAATTCAAGAAGACTGGCAGCTTTTAGTGCGAGACATATATGCATTTTACCCCTTGCTCATCAAGTATGTTGACCTGCAACGTAATCACTGGCTGAAACACAATATTCCAGAAGCTGAGGAAATGTACAATTATGTTGCTGACATATTTAATATTTGGTCCAAGTCTCAATACTTTCTTCGTGAAGAGCAGAACTTTATTTCTGTCAATGAGATAGATAACATGGTATTGATTATGCCTGCGGCTACTCGTAGGACAGCTGTCGTACCAGACTCAGCTGCCTTAGGAGGAGGTGGAGGAGGTGGAAAGAAGAAGAAAAAGCATAGGGACAAGAAGAGAGACAAAGACAAGGAGATTGCTGCCAGTTTAATGGTGGCTTGTTTGAAGAGGCTCTTACCAGTTGGATTGAACTTGTTTGCTGGAAGGGAACAAGAGCTTGTTCAGCACTGCAAAGATCGTTATCTGAAAAAGATGCCAGAATATGATATTCAAGAGTTTGCCAAAATGCAGCTGACTCTCCCAGATAAAATTGATCCTGGTGATGAAATGTCATGGCAGCATTACCTATATTCACAGCTAGGCCAGAAGAGAGAAAATGTTGCAGGTGAACTTAAGGGAACAGCAGCTGCTGATGAACTTGTAGAGAGAATTGTGGCTATGGCCAAGGTCCTCTTTGGACTGCATATGATTGATCATCCTCAACAACAGAGCAAAGGAACATACCGCTCAATGGTTTCTGCATCAAGGAAAAGGGCAGTCATTGCTTGTTTCAGGCAAACCTCTCTCCACTCACTGCCGAGGCATCGCTCCATCAATATTTTCATTCGGTCCTTCTGTGAGCTATGGCTGCAGGAGGAAAATGTGGGCCAGGAGATAATGATTGAGGACTTAACACAGTCTTTTGAGGAGGCGGAGATGAAGAAGCTGGACAAGGAAGAAGATGAAGGAAAACCTGATCCCCTTACTCAGCTAGTCATGAACTTCTGTCGTGGAGCCATGACTGAACGCAGCGGAGCTCTGCAAGAAGATCCACTTTACATGTCTTATGCTAATATTGTTGCCAAGTCTTGTGGCGAGGAAGAGGAGGAAGGAGGCGGTGATGAGGAGGAAGAAGGAGGTGGTGGTGAGGGTGATGAGGGTGGAGCTTCCATTCATGAGCAGGAAATGGAGAAACAGAAACTGTTGTTCCATCAGGCACGTCTGGCCAACCGAGGTGTTGCTGAAATGGTACTCCTCCACATTTCTGCTTCAAAGGGTGTACCCAGTGAAATGGTGCACATAACTCTGCAACTTGGAATATCTGTTCTGAGAGGTGGTAATATTGACATTCAAATGGGAATGTTGAACCATTTGAAGGAGAAAAAGGATGTTGGATTCTTTACTTCCATTGCTGGCCTTATGAATTCTTGCAGTGTCTTGGATCTTGATGCTTTTGAGAGAAATACTAAAGCAGAGGGTCTTGGTGTTGGATCAGAAGGTGCTGCGGGAGAGAAAAACATGCATGATGCAGAATTCACTTGCACACTTTTCCGTTTTATTCAGCTGACTTGTGAGGGTCACAACTTAGAATGGCAAAATTACCTTCGTACACAGGCTGGAAACACTACTACTGTGAATGTTGTCATTTGTACGGTTGATTATTTGTTGCGCCTTCAGGAGTCTATAATGGACTTTTACTGGCACTATTCAAGCAAAGAACTAATTGATACTGCAGGAAAAGCAAACTTTTTCAAGGCCATTGGTGTTGCTAGTCAAGTCTTCAACACACTCTCTGAAGTTATTCAAGGTCCTTGTCCACAGAATCAGCAGGCACTTGCACATTCTAGGTAATGTATAAAATAAGTTTTGTACAGTTTTTTTTTTTTCTTTTTTCTGATCAATTCCTCATAACATTTCTATTTTGTACCACAGGTTGTGGGATGCCGTGGGTGGTTTCTTATTCCTCTTCTCCCATATGCAAGACAAATTATCAAAGCATTCGAGCCAAGTGGACTTGTTAAAAGAGCTTTTAAACTTACAAAAGGATATGATCACTATGATGTTGTCTATGCTTGAAGGTATGCTGTTCTCTTAAATAATTTGTTGATTAAAGTATCCAATGTTAAGTACATATCAGCAACTTTTAGTAATATTGAAAAATATTTTTCCCCCCTCCAGGAAACGTTGTCAATGGTACCATTGGTAAACAGATGGTTGATACCCTTGTTGAATCTGCATCTAATGTTGAAGTAAGTCCTGTTGACTATTATGTTAATAAAGTCAGGTTCTCTTTGCCATAAATAATATCTCATGCATCTATATGTCCCCCCTCTCTAGCTTATTTTGAAGTACTTTGATATGTTCCTAAAACTAAAAGATCTCACTTCATCAGCTAGTTTTATGGTAAGACTTTTGTATTCTATGGTTTTCTGCTCTTTCTTTAAAATGAAATATGGCCTTCTTATTGTTTGCGCAAATTTCACCTTTTTAGGAAATTGATCCTAATAATGAAGGCTGGGTCCTACCAAAGGATTTCAAGGAAAAAATGGAACAGGGCAAAAGCTATACTCCGTAAGAGGCATATTTTATCTGTGTTTGCTCTAATTCTATTCTAATGTGTGTAATTTATTATACTCTTTTTGTCTTACAGGGAAGAAATTGAATTTTTACTTGCTTGTTGTGACACAAATCATGATGGAAAAATTGATTACGTGGCATTTACTGATCGATTCCATGAACCAGCAAAGGAAATCGGTTTTAATCTTGCCGTTTTGCTCACTAATTTGTCTGAGCATATGCCAAATGAACCAAGGTACCAACTTAAATATTAGTAAAAACAATTTTGGTATCTTAAAAATTTGATTAATAATCCCATTTTATTGTTCTATTTCTCTTCCAGGCTTGCTCGTTTCTTGGAGACGGCTGGCAGTGTGCTCAATTACTTTGAACCGTTCTTGGGAAGGATTGAGATCATGGGAGGAAGCAAACGAATTGAAAGAGTGTACTTTGAAATCAAGGAATCGAATATTGAGCAGTGGGAAAAACCTCAGATCAAGGTGTTCAAAGCACTTTACATATTGATGATGGAGCATTTAAAGCCGTAATTTCCTCTAATCATTTTTCCTATTATGTTTTGTTCAGGAATCAAAGCGAGCCTTCTTCTACTCCATTGTCACTGAAGGAGGTGACAAAGAAAAACTTGAGGCCTTTGTTAATTTCTGTGAGGATGCTATTTTTGAAATGCAGCATGCTAGTGGTCTTATGGCTGTGGATGATGGTGGTGGACCAGGGAGCGGAAAGGCTCGCAAGGCTGCGTACAGCTACATGGCAGATGAAGATGAGGAGCGGTAAATAAACACACATCAATACCGCCTGGACTCTTTACTCGCACATTTTTGCTCAAAACCTTGTGATGTTATACTTTTCAGTAACGCCAAGGATCCTTTCCGGCGCGGTTTCGGCGTGGTGCGGGACAGCATCTATCTCTTCTTTGCCATGTTGTCACCATCCAACATCAAGACACAGATTGGACACCTGCAACAAATGACTTTCTCTGAAATAATTGTTGGATTTTTCAAGTCCATATTTTATGCTATCTATTACTGTGGATATGGTGTCTACTGCGTGCTCAGGTACTGGATTCTAACATTCTGCTACTCTGACAGTCCTTGACCGGTACCTGGCTAATGATTTTGTTTGCATGCCAGGTACTTTGCCCGTCTACTCATGTCTTTAATGAGAGGCAGCCAAACAGAAGAGGTCGTTGTTGAAGTAAAGGAAGAGGAGAAGCTAGGCCCCTTACGAGTACTCCCAGCACTGCCGTCTTCCAAAGAAGAACCACCCAATGCAGCTCCTGGTGGTCAGCTTGCCATAGCTCATGACGGCACTAAAGATGAGAGCAGAGGCTCTAGAGCTGAAGGAGGCCAACCGGGAGCAGAGGACGAGCATTTGGAGGGTGAGGGCGACAGTGAACACCGTATGAGTTCTTCAGAGAATCCTGAAGAAGTAGCAATGACCTTGGCTGATCTTCTCGGGTAAGACTTTTCGTTTGCAAACGTGGATCCGGAACAACTGCACTGTGTACCATTTCATGTTTTTCTTACCCTCCTTCTTTAATGTAGTGGTGATGCTGCAAGGAAAGAGGCTGCAGCCGCAGCTGAAGTAGGTGCCCAACAGCAGGCTGTCATGGCTGCTGTCGAAGCAGAAAACAAAAAGGAAGTGACAGTCGAGCCTTCTGCTTTGTCTCAAATGGATTTCAACTCATACACCCACAGGGCTGTGAGCTTCCTGGCAAGGAACTTCTACAATTTAAAATATGTGGCTCTTGTTCTTGCTTTCTGTATTAACTTCATGTTGCTATTCTACAAGGTGAGCCCCATTTGTTTGCTCGGGTTGTTTGGAGGTATTGCTCTTGCATACTCTGGAGATTCTAAACTGTTGTTATTTTTGTCATTTGTGTAGGTGACAACTCTTGGAGAAGATGACGATGACGGTTCTGGCAGTGGTGCTTTTGGTGGCAGTGGCAGTGGTATGGACAGTCTCATGGCTGAAATGTCTGGATCAGGCTCAGGATCTGGAAGTATTCCAGAAGTTCCAATCGGTGGTGGTGATGGTGGTTCTGAGGAAGATGGTGGAAGTGCAGAGGAAGAAGACGATCCACTTGAACTTGTGCATGTGAATGAGGACTTCTTCTACATGGCTCATGTCATGAGGTTTGCTGCTCTTCTCCATTCATTGGTCTCCCTTGCAATGTTGATTGCCTACTACCACTTGAAAGTATGTCTGGATGATTTAGCTCTAAAAATTGTCCTCTGTACCATTGTACTGTAAAAGACATTTGCCTTTAATTTTGCAATTATTTTTGACCTTCAGGTTCCTCTTGCCATTTTCAAACGAGAAAAAGAAATTGCCAGACGACTTGAATTTGATGGATTGTATATTGCTGAACAACCTGATGATGATGACATAAAATCTCATTGGGATAAACTTGTCATCTCAGCAAAGTAAGGATAAACATTTTAAATTAAAATATCTGACTTTTGTACTATGTATCTTAAGAAAAATGATGTAATGATAATTATTTTCAACTTACAGATCATTCCCTGTGAATTATTGGGATAAGTTTGTTAAGAAGAAAGTTCGTCAAAAGTATAGTGAAACATATGATTTTGACTCTATCAGCAACATGCTTGGAATGGAGAAAACATCCTTTACAGCTCAAGAAGAGGAAGGTGGCAGCGGAATTATCCATTAGTAAGAGCATAACCATGTCACATACTTTTGTTGTACTTTTTGTTTTGTAGTTAATTTTTTTTCCTCCTTTTTTTCTTTAGTATCCTTAACATTGATTGGCGGTATCAAGTATGGAAAGCAGGTGTCACTATCACAGACAATGTATGTTTTATTTCGTTACCGAAATGTGTATTTTTATTTCATTTTATTGTTTTTAGTGTGAACTTCACAATATTTTCGTCTTTTTCAGTCCTTCCTCTACAGCTTGTGGTATTTCACATTTTCAATTTTGGGCAATTTCAACAATTTCTTCTTTGCTGCCCATTTGTTGGATGTAGCTGTTGGTTTTAAGACTCTGCGCACTATTTTGCAATCCGTAACTCACAATGGAAAGCAATTGGTGTTGACTGTGATGCTGCTCACTATTATTGTATATATATACACTGTGATAGCCTTCAACTTCTTTAGGAAATTTTATGTCCAGGAAGAAGATGATGAAGTTGATAAAAAATGTCATGACATGCTTACTGTGAGTTTCTGACCTTTTCATTGTCAAAATTATTTTACTGTGAACTTTCTTCTGATTGGGTTCTTCTGTTTCAGTGCTTTGTATTCCATCTTTACAAAGGTGTACGAGCAGGAGGTGGTATTGGTGATGAAATTGATGAGCCTGATGGTGACGACTATGAGGCGTACCGTATCCTGTTTGACATAACATTCTTCTTCTTTGTCATTGTCATCCTGCTGGCTATCATTCAGGGTATGTTATATTTTTTGTTGATTATATTTTGTTACTATAGTGCCATAGCAAGTCAAATATGTCAATTGAAACATTTATATCTACAGGTTTGATCATTGATGCTTTTGGTGAGCTTCGTGATCAGCTTGACAGTGTGAAAGAAAACATGGAGTCCAATTGCTTCATTTGTGGTATCGGCAAGGATTACTTTGATAAAGTTCCTCATGGGTTTGACACCCACGTTCAACAAGAGCACAATTTAGCCAATTACATGTATGTAATGTTCTATTTTCATTTCATTTCAAGATTTTGAGGTCAACACATATCTGTAATTCCTGTCTGATTGTTACAGGTTCTTCTTGATGCATTTAATTAACAAACCAGATACAGAATATACTGGTCAAGAAACATACGTGTGGAACATGTATCAGCAAAGGTGTTGGGACTTCTTCCCTGTCGGTGACTGCTTCCGCAAACAATATGAAGACGAGCTTGGTGGAGGGGGCGGCTAGTTTCGGCAGGATCAAAGTAACCCGCCTACCTCCTCCGTTTGAAAATCAATAAAAAAATCCCCCTTTCCATTAAGACTCTAGCTGTTTTATTGACTCCTAAAGCATCCATGATCTCGATGGCACGACACAGGAATTCAAATCTCCCGCCAGCTAGCGGAGGCATTTACGGGCGCGGCTACAAGGCGGTGCGCGCGAACCCCGCGGCCACAGTCAGTTGTCGGTGGACCTCTTTGTGTTGTTGTTGTTGTTGTTTGTTATTCAGCTTACACCGTGTTGAATGTGAGTGAGGTTGAACCGCGTCCGCGACTTTGTGACTCTCCGTGTGGGTGGGCGATCAGGTGGCGGACCTGGGGACCGCGACGAGTGGTGCAGTGCAGGGGAGAGGAGGGTACCCACCCGGGGCCGGACAGGGGTACCCGTCGTGCGCTCGAGGGCCGCGAGGGGACGGCCGGGCCCGGCGACGAGCCGAGCGCGGAGCGTGGAGCTCAGCCGGGCCACGCAGCGGGCGCGGCGCCCTGCCGAGCCGAGCCGGCCAGCTGCGCGTCCCGCGGGCGGCTAGGCGGCTGCGGGCTGCGGCCCAGGATGTAGAGGCAGCTGGCCGCGAGCCGCGCCGTGCTGTCTGCCAGCCCCGTCTGTCTGCCGCGCCCGCTGCTGCCAGCGCAGCGCCGCGCCGCTCCGCGTGTGTGTGCCGTGTGGTGGTGTGCCCCTGCTGCCTGCTGCCAGCGCCAGTAGTGCCCAGCCAGTCAGAGGTCTCGAGCGTCGTGTGCCGATGTGTTGCGTCAGAGCGCGCCCCGTGAGAGGCGCGCCGCGCCGCGCCGTGGGTGCTGCTGCTGCTGCTCCCAACTTGAGCCGCGCTTAAGCGGCGCTTAAGCGGCGCTTAAGCGGCGCTTAATCCCCCGAGCGCGGCCTTTCAGTGGGCTGCCCAAAGGACATGGATACCTCTTCCAGGGTGAGTATATTTAGACGACGGCGGCATTGTCCGGTTCCCGGATGATACGCGGCTCGGGGGGACGGACGGCCCGTCGTGTCGTCGTCGGGGTCAACCGCTCTCTGGTTGACAATGAGAGGTCTGTCGCGCGGGTGAGGAGACTCTCCCTGTCCTCGCCCCCCCCCCCTTCCCATTTTCCTCCTCTCCGACTGAGGGGCCGAGTCAAGTCAGTCGCACGTTGTGCTAAGCGAACTTATCGCCCAGACGTTTGTCAAAGGCACCCTTGTGTTTCGCGCACGCCCCCGCCCCGCCCCGCTCCACAGAGTCACGCATGCAGGGAAAAGACCCCCCTGAGTCACGGTGTCCTGTCCGCAGAACCATGCCGATGATGTCTGTGCGGGATCCGGGATAAGGCAGCCCGTCGTGGC